CCCGCCTCCCCCCAGGCCTTCTGGGGCAGAGGGGCCAGAAGATGGAGGAGCAGAGGGCGTGGGCACCGCGGTGGCCTGCAGGTCCCCTCTGGGATGGGGCCTGGGGTGGGGCCGAACACGGGACAGAGTCTGGACGCAGCCAGGTGGCCCAGCCCGCAGCTGCGTGTTTAGATGGAGAGCGTGCAGGTGCTGGGAGCCAGGCTCAGAGCCCCAGGAGGAGAAGGGGACTCGTGGTGGCCGTAGTGGGGACAGTCCCGGCCAGCGGGACGTCGGCTCTGCAGCCGGTGTGGCCTGGGGCAGTGAAAGCAAAGGACCTGCAGGTGGCTGTGAGGACTCTGGCCCTGCAGAGGGAGCAGGCCGGCCGGGGGCTGTAGGAACCGCTGTGCCTCCCCCGACCCTGGAGCCTGGATAGAGGAAGGAGGGGGAACCTGGGGGGGACGGTGCCGGCAGGGGCAGGAGAGGACTCTGCTCAAAGCTCCGGAAAACTGGCCGGGCACGGTGGCTCACACCTGTCATCGCAGCACTTTGGGAGGCTGAGGTGAGAGGACTGTCTGAGTTCAGGAATTCGAGACCTGCCTGGGCAACCTGGCCAGAGCTTGTCTCTACAATAAATCAAAAAGTTAGTCGGGTGTGGTGGCGCATGCCTGTGGTTCCAGCTACGTGGGAGGCTGAGGCGGAAGGCTCGCGGGAGCCCAGCAGGTCGGGGCTGCGGTGGCTATGAGCGTGCCACTGCACTCCTGGGTGACAGAGTGAGACTCTGACTCAAAGAAAAGCTCCGGGAAGCTCCAGCACCCCCCTTCTCCTTGCCCGATGCCGCTCAGGCCGATACCCCCTGACAGGTCACAGGCCAAGGCCCGTGGCCCGGCATGGATGGCCGCTGGTGAGGACCTGCCCTCTGTCCTGCCTCCGGCGAGGAGGGCGGCTCTGTGTGGCCTGGGGTGGAAGCGGGAGAGTGGGCGCTGGGCGGTTTTGCTGTGACCGAACACCCCTCCCTTGGACAGCAAACGCTCCAGGTCTTCCTGGGGAAGGAACAAAATCCGGGACCCCCGGCAAGGCACGGCTGCCGTCTCAGGGGAGCCCTCTCACGAGGGGCCCGACCGACCTCTGCCCTCTCCCCCCAGAGCCAGTCTTGCTGCCGGAGGGAGCCCGTCCCGGCCTCCGCTGCCAGCCACATGAGGGCGGCGCCACGCCTCCTGCTCTCCGTCCTCCTGGCGCAGGGGTGGCTGGCGCCCGGCGTGGCCCCCGGTCCCCCGAGGCCAGCGGCCCCGGCGGGGCGGGAGACCCCG